AATAATTAATATGAAGATGGAAATAAGAGAATGTTTAAAAACTTGATTTCATAATATATAAATTTTTATTGAACCGAAATAATTTTGAAAAGAAACTTTTGTTTTGATAAATTTTTGTTAAATAGAATTATAGTTTAGCAAATATTTTAGGTAATAAATAGTTTATAATGGAAAGTTTACATTTATTAAAACTTGCATATTTCAAAACTTAAATTGCAACAAAATGTCATTTTTCAGAATTTATGTTTAAGCAGCTTTCATTGAATGCAAATTATTAAACAGAAAAATTTATAATTGACTAAATGTTTAGTAAAATGAATTATTAAATGTTAATATTTTATTACAACAAAATTTTCTTTCATGTTATAGTTATTAAACAGATATTAAATTCAGTTGATTGTTTATTTAGACAAATTCTATAATTTTTCAATTAATATATGGGTGATTCTACAAACGAAGGACGAAAATCAAGAAAATTTGGACACAACATTTTTTTCTCATTTAAGTTCTGAAAAGTATTTTAACTTCAAGTTAATGGTACTAATAAAGACTTCCATAAGTGGCCAGACAAAATATTAAAAATTACAAAAGTTATGGTTATTTATAAACAATTTATCCAGAGAATTAAAATCGTGTCAAGAAAATTCACATTAACATAAAAATTAATGAATGGATTTTTATAAAATTGGTTACTCGGGGGTTTACGGGGTTGCTGATTAAGAATCCAATGTCAGTTTTTCAAAATTCAAAATGGCGGATACAATATGGCGCACGACTTTTGAAAAAACTTATCGTATTCGTCTAAAAATCGTTACCCGGGGGTTTTTGAAGTCGCTGATTAAAAATCTAATTAAATGAATTTTAAAAAAATTGTTCGATTTTTATTAAATTTGATTTTGTAAAATATGTTTAAACGTTAAATAAGTTATTAATCTAGAGAAAAAGTTAGAACTAACAATTTACAATTTACCACCATTTTCGCAACTTTTGAATCAGATAGTTCAAGATTATTTAAAATACGGAATACTTGATGCATACGGAAATTTCCGAGGACTGAAAAGAAATCGAGTACCCGAAAAAATCGAATACTAAATACTTTGAATACACCTCTAGTTTTTAACGTTGAGTTTAATTTTGAATTTACTTTTTAATAATTTATTAATTTATTTTTATTTAATTTATTTAACTAATTAATAATTAATAATAATAATAATAAATTGTAATTAATTAATTAATTAATTAATTATGATTATTAAAAACTATTTAAAATTTATTTATTAATTGTTATACATCTATGAACTATAAATATAGTAGTAGAACTAAAAAACATAATTAAATTGTTTAAACAAATTGTAAAAGCAATGGTTAATTTGAAAAAAGTTGACCTCGGATTGGTAATAAGCGAAACAGAAAATCACCGAGTAACGATTTTCAGACGAATATGTTAAGTTTCTCCAAAATCGTCGGCCATATTGGATCCGCCATTTTGAATTTGAAAAATTTAAAAAACTGACATTAGGTTCTTAATCAGCCACCCCGAAAACCCCCAAGTAACGATTTTTACGAGGATCAATAAAAGTCATCGGTTTAATTAATTTTTGTTGTAATTTAATTAATAATTGTTTTTAACAAATTACGGATGGTGTATTTGTTTCTATAAGCACAATTTCACAAATCATAGAATTGTAAAAGTAAGTTCAAGTGTCTAATAATAAAGAACTACTTTGATTTTTGTGGGCTAAACTTTATTCATATAAAAAAATACTTATTCCATTTGTTTGTTTATGTCAATATAATTATGCGAAATGAAAATTGAAAATTCAGTTATAGCAATTTCTTGTAAATTTAATTAGTATTATTTTAAGACCAGAAAATCGAACAATAGTTGAAAATTGTTAGTTTTACGCTATTTTTAGTGATATAGTATACATCCTATCTCAAAAGTGCCAGACGAATGAGAACCATACGAATGAGAATTTGGCATTTTTTGTTTAAAAAATAGAAAAATAACATTAAATGAAAAAATCCTTCAGTACTATCTTATAGAGAATAATAATCTACAAAACATAAGTCTATAGAATAACCGAAAAATAAAATATTTTTTTAAAAAATGTATGCCAGACGAATGAGAATTTGTCTGGTCACAACACAATCTCCGTTACAAATTGAGAAATCTTGATTAATAGATTAGAAGATTCAATAAAACCCGATTGGTATCACATTTAGTGTAGTTTGATTAACAACTACAACGAACAGTCACTTCATCAGAATGTTGATTTTTAATAATTTTTACATTTTTTGCACTGCCAGACGAATGATAACAAATTCAGGGGACAAACTTCGCGAAGATATTTTATAAATAAGATATAGAGAAACATCATAATTAATTCCATATTAGTAATCTACAACTATTAAAAATTACTAATTCAGTATGAATTTTCCGCAAAACATTTGAAAAGTGATATTTATTCTCAATATGAACTGTCATTCTCCCAAAGGGACATGCCAGACGAATGAGAATTTAGCACTATAATGTGTATTTTTTGCAAAATCATATTTTTTTTCATCGGTTTTTTTTCTGTGCCATAATAGAAACCATTAAGATTTACAATTTCCATTAAAAGTAAAATTATTCTTTCCAAAATTAATATACAAAACATGCTTCAAACATCAAAATTCCCTCTTTTGTAGAATCACCCATATGTATAAACGAATCTTCATATTACAAATTTTTTAAATAATTTAAATGTTATGTGACGGAGTTTACATTAGATCGAATTTTAATAATTTATCGACATTTTTATTTGCTGGAATATCTATTAAACGAAATGTTCATTTCAACGAATTTTCAATAAACAAAAAATTCTATAATGAATTCCTTCTTAACGTACTTATTATTTCATTCAAATATTATTTCACGGAAAGTTAATTTAATCGATTTTTTATGTTTCAGATTCGTTGTCTAATAGAAATTCAATGAACGGAATCTTTGTTTAGTGGAATTTTCATTTTTCTGAATGTTCAAATGCTATGAATTTCATTTGTAGAATTTTATGTGACCGAATTGTCATAAATATTAATTTCTACATTACCGACATTTAAACACACGAAACTTAATATCGCCGAAACTCAATTTGTCCTACCTTTTTCTATTGTTGTCCTTGTCTTACTAATGGACAAGACAAGGACAACAATAGAAAAAGGTAGGACAAATTGAGTTTCGGCGATATTAAGTTTCGTGTGTTTAAATGTCGGTAATGTAGAAATTAATATTTATGACAATTCGGTCACATAAAATTCTACAAATGAAATTCATATAGCATTTGAGCATTCAGAAAAATGAAAATTCCACTAAACAAAGATTCCGTTCATTGAATTTCTATTAGACAACGAATCTGAAACATAAAAAATCGATTAAATTAACTTTCCGTGAAATAATATTTGAATGAAATAATAAGTACGTTAAGAAGGAATTCATTATAGAATTTTTTGTTTATTGAAAATTCGTTGAAATGAACATTTCGTTTAATAGATATTCCAGCAAATAAAAATGTCGATAAATTATTAAAATTCGATCTAATGTAAACTCCGTCACATAACATTTAAATTATTTAAAAAATTTGTAATATGAAGATTCGTTTATACATATATTAATTGAAAAATTATAGAATTTGTCTAAATAAACAATCAACTGAATTTAATATCTATTTAATAACTATAACATCATGAAAGAAAATTTTGTTGTAATAAAATATTAACATTTAATAATTCATTTTACTAAACATTTAGTCAATTATAAATTTTTCTGTTTAATAATTTGCATTCAATGAAAGCTGCTTAAACATAAATTCTGAAAAATGACATTTTGTTGCAATTTAAGTTTTGAAATATGCAAGTTTTAATAAATGTAAACTTTCCATTATAAACTATTTATTACCTAAAATATTTGCTAAACTATAATTCTATTTAACAAAAATTTATCAAAACAAAAGTTTCTTTTCAAAATTATTTCGGTTCAATAAAAATTTATATATTATGAAATCAAGTTTTTAAACATTCTCTTATTTCCATCTTCATATTAATTATTATTTTCATTCATTAGCATTAATTAAAAAAACATTGTGTTTATAAACAATTTTGAACACATTCTTATTCTTATAAAAGAAAATTACATGAAAAAGAAATTTTGACAAATGAAATAAGGTCTATCGAATATTATACAGGATTTTTGTCGGGAATCGTCAAGCGTCTCAAAAATACGTTATGTATTTTTAATAATACTTTAAAATAGTATACTACTTCAACTATAATATAGTACTGTACATAGATATACAAATAAATAAATGCCTGTAAATATAGAAAGTTTATGCTATATATATGTATATACAGCAAAAGGGAATCTTGGTGAGATGAGATTGCAAAGACGCGCGCGGAGGGGTGGGTCGCCAACACATATCTTGATATCTCGAAGTTCGATCTCTTGTGCCCTGGCCGCTCGTATATTTACATGTATAATTTATATAACCCGCCACGTATAGGTACAAGGCGATCTTGGTCCACTATGTTTCCACCCTCCGCGCTGGAGAGCGCAACCATCTTCTCGCAGTGGGCCCCCATTATCGAATGGTTCACCACGAAACTTCGAATCTATATATATATATTTATTCGCAAGTTCGAATACTGTTTGAAATTCCCACGATCAAAAGATCCGAGACTGCAAAAGCGTCTGAACTTTAGCGGTTTCTCGCCGCTGATGGCAAATTTTTTTGTAAATGTTTCATCTCGTTCAGGGGAAAAAAGAGGGCGTCAAATATTAGCCGTAGGCACTAATTCCTGAATATCGAGATTATTATAAATATTCTCTATCACTACTGAAGAGTTGTTGATATCTTCTTTTTTTTGGGTGGGGGATTTTAGATATAAATTCCTAGAAATTAGATGTAATCTTGTTGATTCTGATCTAAGAGTCATGTTTGTAAATCAATTTCTTTTTGTTGCAGATTAAACTACCTTGCATGTTTAAAATTGGACTGGAAGTGGTATTGGCGAGAAGAAAATTTACTCAAGGAGTGGAAATGGAGGAAAAATGAAGACGAAAAGTGTGATCTGAGTAAAGGGGTCGATATATATTAAAGAGAAAATGGAAGAAAATGAAAAAAGAGGAGGAAATAGAAAATGAAAACAGTGAAAAAAATATGACGCAAGTAGTAGAAAAAGTTGCGGTACTTTTGAAGTAACTTCAAGAAAACGCCTCAATAAGTTGTCGAAGTCTGGGAACAAGTGAAGAAAGACGAATAGTAGAGCGACTTTGTTAAAAGGATTCAGTAAGTTGACGAACGCTGGACATAGCTGAAAAAAGACAAATAGTAGACTCATTTTGTCAAACGAACTCAGTAAGTATTAGTCGAACTCTACAAACAAGTGAAGAAAAAAAAATAGTAAAGAAATGTGAACAAAATGCGTAGGTATCATTTTGACACAATTTTTTTTTAAGATTGTTATATTGTACAACTGGAGATATTGTTATTTTGTACAACTTGAGAAATGAAAATTGTTATTTTGAACAAATTTGAATAACGATATTGTTATATTGTACAACTCAGAAATTTTTTAATTTCTTTGTTATTTTTTACAACAAATATGACTGACTTTAAAATTATTAAAAAAACGTTTTTAACCAGGCTAACTTTTTTTCATGGCGTATAAACGTCCATATTAAACAAAAAACAGTAAACCTTATTCATAAGAGTACTCTCTAAATTTGAATTAGTATAGAATTCTACTAAGAAATAGTAAAATTTTTAGTATTTTTCAGGGACGATTTTTCCTCTTTTTAATTAGTAGAGTATGTATTACTATTTGTACTAAATTTTACTAATGTTTTAGTAGAATTCCAGTATTTAAAGTTACTGATTTTACTTAATGAATTAGTGAAACTGTTTTATCGACTATTAATAAAACGGTTTTACTGATTGTTAGTAGAATTTTAATAAACAATTATGAAATTGTACTAACAATCAGAAAAATTTCACTGTTTATTAGTAAAATTATTACTAAATCATTTGGTGGACGACTTTTCGTTATTTCATTATTAACTTTCTACTAATTAAGATGTAAAGAGTAAGTACTCTAAAAATAAGTAAGTAAGTACTCTAAAGTACTCTAAAGATTTCTGTATTTCCCAAGCGACGTTTTTTCTTGAATGCATCACTATGTGTCAACATTGCAAAATCTTCATTAGTTCCAAGTAAGTAATTTATATTGGTACATAATTTTGCATAGCGTTTTTAATCAATTTGAGATATTTCTTGTCAAAACTGCATTGAAAGTGAACATTAGATAACCTTAAATGCTAAAAATTGGCATACTAGTGTATTTTTACTTAATAAATAAGGAAAATACAATCAATAAAATTAAAATTAAACTTATTTTCGTAATTTTTTTTTAAACTTTACATTATTTAATTTGCAGTACTAAAATTTAGTGTATTCCTTAATACATTCAAATAACAAATATATATAAAATTGTTCCTCTCTTTTGTTTACATTATTAAACATACAATGCTTATATTTGTTCTAAATTCAGGTTTATATATCAAATGAATTTAATATTGGTGCACAGAATTAGTAAAATTCCAAGAAAACATTACAATTGTTTTATGTGAATTCCTGAATGCTACTTTTAATTTAAATATTTACATTTTTGAATAAAACATACATACATAAAGATAATACATAAATAATAATAATAATACATAAATAATAAAAATAATAATAATAAATAATAATACATAAAGATTTTTTTGAATAGTTAAGTTCAAATATTTTGAATCTATTTCCTAAATTACAGTTAAGAGAATGTCCAGCTATTTCTTACTAACAGAGGAAAAAATGGCGCTACTGTAGGTAAAATTTTTTACATAGCATGGCTCTTTCCACCTCAAAATTGTATTAAGCAGTAAGAGGCCAAAATCTAACTATTGTTTAAGTAGGCGTTTACAACATGAGTGTTAGTACATAAAACGTAGACATTGGATCAATATTTCTATGCTATAATTAGATACTAATTAAAGTATCCAATGTACCTTTTTTAAAATGCATATTACTAGAATAAAAAAAATTTAAATTTAAATATAGGGACAAATTTTATGCGCATTAAATGATTAACATATGTATCGAAAAATTTCGTCAGTCATATATTTGTCATACAAAAATTCGACATTCGTAAAATACATAAATGACGATATTATTTTCTGAGAAGTCTCAAGACCTGTTGAGAACTGCACAACCTAAAGAGTACATTGTACAGTCATGTCTCGTCATTACAAGATTAGTAAAAAATTTCCCTCCCTTCAACTTTCGTAAACACAAGACAGTTATATCACGCCTACTTTCTAGCACTGGCAGGTTGATGACGTAAGCTGACGTCATCTTACAATGATGAGAGGGTACCGCCCTACAAGCGCTTGCAATATTGAGTCTTCGAATTTCGAATGTTGCAATTACGAGACACGACTGTATTTGATTTTTATCGAGATATTCTTCTCTAGATCCGTAGTTTTTTGCGTAAACAGGGGTACCTCGTGTAGGATCTACTACGGTCTTAGTTGATTGGAAGCTATATTTTATATTTTAAGCTGTGAATTTTTTCGAATCAAACGAACATTTGATTACTAATTTAAAACTGTTAGAAAACAACAAAGTGCTACATTACCCACGTGAAAAAGTTTTCCTGAATGAGATCAAGAAATTTCCAGGAGTCACTCATGAAAAATTCTCAGTTTCATATCTGAGAAATTCCAGGGAATGATTTCAAAGCATTCATTACTTTACTCCCGGGTGATTCTCGGGAGTGTCTCTCGCGAATTTCTCTGTCATATTCCCGGAAACCTTTTTACATGGGTAGGAATAGTTTTATTGAAATGCATTTAAAATGACAAAATCTGATAAATATTCATTGCTTTAAAATGTACTATTAATGAATCCAGTTATACACACAAATAAAAAAATGCACAGCTCTAAATTTACGCTATAATCAACTCAGGGTGCAAGCAATAATACATTTATTGATTGACCCTCACCCCCATAAAAAAAAAAATCCTGAAAGCGCGAAAATCATCAGATCCGACAAAACGCGTACAATGTTTTTGTATCAAACGGTACTTTGAGCGTAAATTGATTTTTCGAATCTAACGGTATTTTCTATTAATAAACCAAAAAACGCGAAAAAAATAGAAACAAGAAATATTACAGTGTTTGCAGAGTATTTGCAGCATTCGACTACTGTAGTTCGTTTGCAAGCTACCTCCCCTGCAGCAGTAAGAGTGTGCAATGAAGGTGGTTTTCTCACGAAGAGAGTAATTGCAGCATTCGACTACCGATCACTTCATTTTGCGATACACGCGTACTTTTTGGGCGACAGAACTTAATGATAAGAAAATAAATTGAACTGTAGTTCGTTTGCAAGCTACTAAAGCTAAATGTTCTGAATATTCCGATAAAATTCAGACACAAATTTAACAAAATTTTCCAAATGATGGTACTGAAAGCATTTATAAGTTACATTTGCTTGAAATTTACTACACGTTTCTTACGATTTCTAAATGTTACTTAAAATTCAAAATTTTTAGTAAAAATCCTTAATGAGTAACGGAATTCGGACTTGAGTCAAACTAAAATCAGTAACTTTTAAGGAAATTACGAAACTGTAACAAAATTTTCAGTTACAACAGCCGCTTGGGTCTGTTGCAGGAAATACATAACTGAAAATGCCCTTCGAAAATAAATTGGTTGTGCGTAAACAATGTTTTATTGTATAAAGTATTTAAATAAGTAAAGAAGAGTTGTAAATTATTTTTAAAGTGTCATAAGTGATCATTCTTGGGATTAAAAAGTAGAAGCATATTTCTACAAATAAAAAGTATGTACAAAATCTATTTTTATTCATACTCCATTACACGTATTAAATATTTCTGAAGAAAAATCGTCCTGCAGAAAGGAATGTCCATGCTAGGAACCAGTACCGTAACTATGATGAGCGTGATATTCAGAGGAATCAATCCCAGTGTGCAAAGTTACAGAATAATTCTATAACTATTCCAGAACAAAAAGAACAAGTTCTGTATCTGGTGAGGAACAGGCAGGTCAAAATGTCGTCCCCCTAGAGGCACAAAATAGGAACCAAAGTCTGTAACAATTCTAGAACAAAATTAGAACATTGTTTTAGAACAAATATACATATAACAATTGTATAACAAAAACGATTTATCATAAATAATACCCAAGCAGAAATTTAATAGTTGCATAGAACAAATAAATGTTTATGAGAATGAATAAAAATATGAATAATTAATAGAATATCTTTTTTAGTAATAAGTTTTTAAATATATTTTTCGTATTTTCTTTAATAATTTAAACAGATTATCTTATTTATTTAAATTAATGACTAAATTATTATTATCATTGTTAATAATTATTTAAACTTATACTTTATGTAACAATATTCAGAATTATACACAGAACACTTAAAACTAAGAATGGAAAATTTCGCACGCACGGAGGATCGAAACCTAGACCTAGAGGACACAAGTCAAATACGCATACCGCATAGCCACGCAAGCTTGGAAGTGATTTTACTTCAACTTCCTTTTGAATTGTGGGACCGTTATGTGCAGTGCTAAAATTATAAATTGAAATGTAACATACTTAATAAAAAATAACTATATATAAGGCATTCCAGGCCAAATCGGAAATAATTTTGCTTTTGCATCTCAAATTTTTTTTAAACATTTTTTTTCTTTTAGTACTCTTTGACATGAGCTACCTTGAATTTTTTCAAATTTTTTCATAAAGCAGTTCAGGAGATACAGGTTTATGAAAAATGACGTTTTTTACGTAAATTTTTTTTAAATGCTTATAACTCGGTCAAAAATTGATCAAATTGGACGTTTTTATAATGAAAAGTTTTGTTTTCACACGTAACAACGTGTAACTACGTTTTAATAAAAATATTTTTGAGATGCAAAAGCAAAATAATTTCCGATTACAAATAATAATATATAATTATGCTACAAATAATAACAAATTTTAATTAATTAGTTAATAATAATAATTTATTATTGTATTTTTATGATATATATATACCTATTAATTAATAATTGATAATAAATTAATGAAATATTTGATGTTATTGTTGGTGAATAATGTTTTTAAAAATCTTGAAAATTTATGCAAGCTGACAGTGAAAAATTATTTAATTTTTCACGAATCATCGATACGAGTCTTTCTAAGTATCTAAATTCAAAAGATTTTTTGTAATTCATGCAAAAACGCGGCTGCACTCTACACGGAAAGACAGTTATTATATTAGTTATTATATTAGAAGTATTAAACTTTAATAAAAATTATACTATATT